TAAACAAAATCCACATATTATTCCCGAACAAACACCTAAACACAAACGTTCACCTTAAGTCATTGTTTGGTGTGGGTTTTGGTCAGGCGGAATTACCGGTCCGTACTGAAGCTGGAGACACCATCTATGGCAATGCAGAGCAGTAAAGTTCGATGATAACCAACCTTTTATGGCCGAAATTGAGAGAACTTGATCTTGACAACAACAGGTTTCAACGAGACGGTGATACGAGCCATACAGCGCTATTCACGACACACGACCCGACTTAGTGGAAAAAGTGCTCGAAATTTGCACTCATATAATTCGTTCCTGTAATAGGAGCCGTGAAGGCCATTTGAATGATGTTGTATCCAAAATTAGGGCCCTCGATTTCTATTAAATTATACCTTAAGTACATTTTGGATATGTATGGACATAAGCAATTTTATAATATTTCGAGAGGGATGCATTTTTAGGACTTTTACTTTAAAACCTTTATAGCTTTTGCTTCTACCCTCTGTGTAAATATTTTAATTTTTATCATATAATTATTCCCCCTTTGACGGATATTAATAATTATTTATTTTTTGCCAGCCACATACAAACAATGACAACCGAAGCGCAGCGTATTTTACACACCATACTTTTCATTAAATTTTCATTGCAGTTGTTTCTGTTTTTTTTTTCTCTCTGCACTAACTTGCAAAATGCAACAAATACAACAAGTACGCTAGTGAAAGAGAAAAATGCAAACTATTTCAGCCATTGAACCAAGGAAAAGACTGCTGAACTGTGCGATACTCGTTGAGCCAGTGAAGGGCACTGACCGAAAAATAGGGCAAGACACTACACAGTTGAGTGAATTGCATTTAAATTGAACTGGCAAAATTTTTGGGCGAATAACAAATTCACAAATAAAACTTACATACATATGTATGTATGTATGCGCATAAATACACAGACGCTGCAGCTACCAAATTGCGTGCATTCGAAAGCCAATAAGAAACTTTTGGCGTAAAGGAGTAATTTGGCTAGCAAAGAGTGATATAATCAATATTTTTGCACAGACGAAATATATGTATGTATGTTTAACAACAATCAAACGGAAACTAAATGGCCATAGTATCACGATAAAACTGTTTGTTTGGGTATTTGTTAATCGCCATGGCGGCGTGCAACCAAAAGGGTGGCGGCCACTTTTTTTTTAATATTTTTTACTATTAATTCAGATCTATAAATCTAATTGATTTTCATTTTTCGCTACAGGAAAAATGCTACCAAACAAGCGCTCTATACGCTTTCAGAATTATGTGTTGGACGCGATGGCCGAATACAACATGCCTCACTGTAAACTCCTAGAATTCACAACACCCATTCAGGGATTTGATGGAATAAGTGCCAAAAGGTACAAGTATGGACCGATTACGATACGCTTATTACGGGCTCAACGGCCAGCCAGCGAAGGTGAAAATGTATTGCAAAAATTTAGCACTAAAAATAAAATGAAAAATGAAGACAAAATATAATAAAATGAAATGAATAAAAAATATATTTAAAACAATATGGCTTATTAAAACATGAAAGCATTATATATTTAGATTCGGGTCTAACTTTATTAAGCAAAATATTCATGATTCGAAAGAGCAAGCTTGTGGCTAAAATTTAAAATTTTTTTGGAACGCTAAACAAGTTTAAAACTGTAATTTTACACATTTTGCTAAATTAAAAATTACTAAAAATTAACTTTTCAGAAAACATGACCTTTTTTGTAAATCCCTGAGGAACTTTAAAGCTAACGATGAAAGAATGCGCTTTGAAAATTACAAGGAAATATTTGAAAAAAAATTTCAAAGTCCGACTTGATTTATTTTTTTCAGAAAAAACAAGCTCACAGAAATTTCACCATAACTCTAAAAAATGTGAATCGGTTTTAACAAAATTAATTTCAAGTAAAAGCGCACCGCCCGGCGCAGTATCCTACACTTTTACTTTTTCGAACTAAGCGCCAAACCTATGAAATTTCGCTACAAAAGCACGTTAGAGAAAGGTTTTGCTGAAATAACAGCCCTGCTTTTAGGAGTGCAGCATAGGAACCCCCTCAGAAAGCACCGCTAAGTGTTGCTCTTTCATCTGATACCCATATTGCTGCAATCGGTCCCTATTTGGCCGAGTTATAGCGATTTTTATGCTGGCGGCACCCTTTCTGCTGGTTTATGGTCGCCTGGTAGAAATTGAAAATGTTGCCGGCGAGAAATGCGACATATCTAGCGAAGTTCCACACCGATTTGCAAGATCCGGGTGTGAAACGAAAGTGCATCCTGTGGCGGAGTACAGCCCTAAAGTATGCAAGCATTTTTGACATCCGGTTCCAGACATCCGGTTCCAGAAATGTTTGGCCGGAAAGAGGCAAAGACGCGGAAACTTCGGTATAACTCTCCCAAATCCTAAGGACATAGGTTGGGGCAGTGGCCTACGTTCTTACTTTTGCGAAATAGGCTCCATACCTAAGAAATTTTGATACAAAAGCACGTTATTGAACGGTTTTCCCAAAATGACAGGTTTAAGTAATTACAACAAATATTTTCGCTCGGCCAGATATGAACCGATACGGCGGTGTGGGTATCATATGAAAGAGCATCGCTTTAGCGGTCAACTTCTCAAAGCAAACTTGGGACATATTTTAGAAAACCCCTTTCCTAGCGTCCTAGGAATAGATCACTGCACCGACCTATGTCCTTTGACATCAATTTTCTTAAAATCGGTTCAGATTTAAAGGTGTTATAAATAAGCCCTCCGGCAAAACGAAAAAAGGGAATTAAAATTTTTTTTTTGTATATTTACTAGCTTAATCATCTACATATGTACATAAAATTCCGCATTCTTTGACATTTGACATAAATGATATTTGCCAAAAAATTAAAAGCCGACAAAAAAAAAGTCCTACAAGACTACAAACTGAAAATTGATAGACCAAACAGGTGCTTTATATACTTATATGTACATATATAATTTTTTAAGTCTGTCGTAGCTTCAGTTACGAATGCTGTTTTCCATTTACGAGTTTTTGCTTTAAACATCTTTGCTACGATTATTTTAACGTCATAAAATATAGTTTTGATAAATTATCGCCATATTTTTAATGAATGAGTTCGCTCACTTGTGTGCTTGTATTGGATAAAAATAATAATAATAATAATAAAGAATTTAAAATTAGTTCAGTTAATGGCATGCTAACGAAACGAAACGAAACGAAACGGTAGTCAAAGGAAAAAAAACACCATTTTAAGTTAACAAAACACAAATTATAAACAATGAATAGTGGTAAAAAAAAACTGCTTACCTCTTCAACTAAAAACGGCTTATTTACAAATCTCATTTCATCTCATCTCATCTTTCTCTCTCTCGTCAATCAACCAATCAATCAATGACTCTAATCAAAATCATAATTTACAAGTAGCTACATAAATGAGAAATACAACAACAATAATATTGTAAAATCTATTAAAAGCGAAAAAGTTGTGGTGCTTTTGGTGTTTGGTTGCTTGGTTGGTGGTGGTGGTGGTGGTTGTTGTGATTCCAGGTTTTTGCTGACATTACGACATTTAGGTTCGAATTGTGACTGACAGGTTGCCTTCGCGCTTTTTGCTACAAATATATATACGATTTTGTTGGTGTTATTTAAATTTTTGCGTTTTTTTGGGGGAGGGGGGGGCGTGGTGAAACAAATACAGTTTAAGTGCACAAAAAATTCTAGAACCAATACAGAGTGAGCCAGATACGTTTAAAGTATGCACAGTTACACACACAGACACGCATAGATACAAGAATACAAAATTAACTACCCTGCAAACCATTTTCTTCAAAGTATTCTGAATTGTAGAGAAATTTAAAAGAATTAGTAAAGATCCCATCCGACTTTTGCCGAATTTTCTAAAATGAAATAAATTATGCACATTTCGATTCATTTCGATTTTCGAAATTTCGGAAGAAAATCGGTAAAGCAATGAAAATAATGCTGCTATGTGCTATTTGTCGTACAAAAATTTCTTTACGAGTTCGTGTCAACCCCTTCATATAATTTTCTTTGAAGATTCGTCAAAAAATCGTTATAGAAATAAGGGACTCCTAAAGATTTCGTTAAGAATTCGGGAACTTTGGTTTGCGGGGTATTTTTTACATAGGATGATGATAGGAAGTGACTACGCCGCAAACATATTCTGGGCGTTCAGAATATATGAGTCCGAAAGGAGTCTAGGTAGATAAGAAATATGAGTTTCAAAAACAACAAATTTTTTACTCTTATATGAATCTTTTAGGAGTCATATATGATCCAAGTTATAAGCCAGCACTTTGTGCCATATAAAAACAATAAAGATTCGAAATTTATATCTTAACTTGTTTATACTGAAATTGAAAATACATATGTACGTATGTATGTAATTAGAAAACGAAAAAGTTAAATAATTAAAAAACAAAATTTAGCTGCAGCTGCTGCTATCAATGGCATGTTGGAATATATATGTATATGCACGTAAGTATGTATGTATGCTATTTGAAAGAAATTTTTGGTGAATGCCTTTGCAAGTATAGTGCGTTCAATAAGACTCAAATAACAACCTAAAATAAGAGTCCGATGTAGTAATTTATGAGGCCGATAAGAGTCTCAAAAAGAGTCTGAAATTAATCATATATGTATGAGGTAAAAAATTGTTTCAAATAAGGCCAACATGAGCCGTATACGAGGCCAATGAGAGTCCAATATGACTCATATTGACGCTCATTTGATGTATGGATTTAAGCTCGTATAAGTCGACCTTCGCACGAAGGGGGAAACACCCTCATTTCGAACTCTTAAATGAGCTCATTGTGAGCATAAAGGCTTCGAAATGGGACTCCTTAAAGATTAATTTTTTGTGTGTGTACGTTTATGTTTAATTTTGTGCTAGTGTGCGTGCCATCGTTACGTAATGGCGCTTGTGGCGTCACTTGGAAATTTTGCGAGTATTTTTTCGTCAGCCTACCTCGAGTTGGGACTCGTCGATCTGCTGCGCTGTTGTTGTTGTTGCGTTTGATCGTTCACATAATGCACAATCGCCGATGTGACCTCCTTAATGGAGCTCTGTATTTCCGGTGTAACTGGCAGCAATTTGCCATTTTCACCATTTGCAGCGACGCCGGCACTCCTTTGTGTGGGCGATGTGCGTTGTTGTTGCGCGAGTAACGACGAAGCCAAGCTGCAAGGCGAGAATAAAACAAATGTACTCAAATTAGTAGAAGCCGCAAAAATGACTCGAAATCATTCGCAAGCTACTCACCGTTCATGGGGCGTGCGCTGTGACAGCTTCTCCTGACTGCGCCAACCCAAATATGGCTGCCGGTAGGAACTTCTTATCACACTACTTTGTCCGCTAGCCACCGATATGAAACTTGAGTTGATTGGACCGCCGCGCGTGAAAGAGCCGCGTTGCGAAACGCTCGGTGATGTTTGTGACGAATTCAAATGCGAGGTGGACCAGCGTGAAAATGCGCCTGCACCGCCACCAGCTGTGCCGTATGCGCTTGTGCCTGCGGTGCCATGCTGCTGCGCCACCTGACCGCCATGATGACTATGCGCTGATGGGCTGAGCAGTAGTGGACTGCGATCGGAGCGCTGTGAGCCGAGCGAACTGAGTGATGTGGTCTTCGAGTTGAGCCCCGCCCAACGGCCAGATTCTGTGGTGCGTTTGCGTGTGAAATTGCCGGGCTTGTAGGCGCCGCCGACCACTGTATTGCCCTCCGGCGAGCGTGATGTGTTCTGATTGTATTGTCGGAACCAGTCGGGTATGTTGAGACGCTGCAGCGAGGCCTGCACGCGCAACTGATGTTCGCTCAAGGCGGCCGGATTGTGATCGTGCGATTTCTGAAGCTCATTTTCGGGTGGCTGAAGAGTGGAGGGAAGAAAGAAAAATGAAAGAGCTTAGTTTGATTGTGTTGTATGACAGGAAATATATGTACAAATATAATTTTTAATATTAGTTTAATAAATTAAGTTGATCAAAAGAGCGTATGTATGTATAAGGGCCAGATTCACAGTGCGTAGTTAACTCAGAATCGGCAGTTAACTATAGTTTTTGTACTGAAAATCTGTAGTTAAATGCCGATTCTGAGTTAACTAAGCATTTGGCCCTAAGCAGAATACAAAAAAATCGATATTTTATATGCCGTTTTCTTTTAGCATCGATTTGAAATTTTCTTGATTTTAAAATTGTATGTGATACATTGGCCTAGGGATGGCAATTTGAATTTAATACTCGACAAATGTATCAAATGTTGAATTGCGAGGCAAAATAAATAATAGCAACTAGTTTTCAATGTATTCATCGATTAATCGGAATTTTCGATTACGTATTTTTGTTTTTAATATTCACAATTTTATTTATTTTCTACTATAAGTAAATATATAAGTAAAATAAAAAAATCGATATTTTATATGCCGTTTTCTTTTAGCATCGATTTGAAATTTTTTTTTATTTTAAAATTGTATGTGATACATTGGCCTAGGGATGGCAATTTGAATTTAATACTCGACAAATGTATCAAATGTTGAATTGCGAGGCAAAATAAATAATAGCAACTAGTTTTCAATGTATTCATCGATTAATCGGAATTTTCGATAACGTATTTGTGTTTTTAATATTCACAATTTTATTTATTTTTTACTATAATACTTGCAAGCATTCGCTTGTATTTTTTATTTAAATATTATTATTATTTATTAAAGTGCACTGTCCACAGCTGCCTACCCACCACATCTGATTGTTAGCATTGCCCACAGCTGCCTACCCAATCAATTTTTGATTGAATAAATGCTCCTGTTCAATGCAAACAACCTCTCTCACTGAGCTAATCAACACTGTAAAACAAGTTAAGGGCTTTTGTTTATGGCCTCAACCAAACTATGCCGAAACCTTTGTTTTCATCTCTGATAGTCAATCTCATCACACTTTTTTCTAGTGGGCTAAAGTTTAAAATTTTTTGGCAAAAATTCATGTATTAATCAGGGATGGAAATAATCATTTTTTAAGTTTTAACCAAAAAAATCAACAAGTTGTAATCGTAGTAAAAACAATTTTAACTATACTCACGTATTTTTATTCGTCGTTCCTACTGTAATTTTCGATGATTTTTATTTTCCGAGTTTAACCAATAAAGATTAAAAATAATAACTAATATTTGAGTTTTAATTTTTCGCTCAAAGATAATTACTGTTACGTGATTAATGCTTTTTCGAGCAAAACGAATGATTAATTTATGATTTTTGTTTTTGCTCAAAGATAATAATTATTATTGAGTTTTATATTTTCACTTAAGAATAATGATCATTCAAAAAACTCAAAAGCTATACAAGCATGATTTCCGTCGTATCCTTTTCAAAGGTAGCGAGACCCTAATAAAAGGATAAGTCCAAAATTTTCAGGTAACAATTTCAATAAGTTGCGTCTGTATGGCCTTTTCAATTTCATAAATAATCGTTATTTTTAAGCGGAAAAATAAAACTCAATAATTATTATCTCTGTGCAACAAAATATAAAATTCATAAAATAAGCATTATTTGTGATCGAAAAATTAAAAATAAATAATAACTATTATTTTTGAGCGAAAAAAATAGAAATCATAAAATAATGATTAAATGCTGATTTAAATTATTTTACTCATAGTGATTACCGTCCTTGGTATAAATCGATATCGAAATTAACTTTTGTGCTCAGATGCATATATGTACAGTGGCTCAAAGAATTGTTCACGTGTCGATTTTTCGTTATATTTCTATACAAATTTTGTCCAAGCTCTAGTCAAACCCATATAAACCCAAGTTTCAAACTTTACACAAAATTTAGGAAAATTTAAAAATTTTTCATCAAAATTTCGAGCTTTTTAATTTGAATCTTTACAACATTTTTGGGTACGCAGTTTTATAGTCCATACAATTTTAGTCTAATGAGTGCAAGTTTTAAGTGCTAAGAAACTGAGTTGATTTTTTTGCTGAGGGATTTTTGCACTTCCTTCCATATAAGCATGAAGTTCTTATGAAATGCGGGAGACCGTTCGCAACAAAATTAAAAAAAAAAACCGACGCCAGTTTTTGTAACTTGTTATATATAAAAAAAAACGTAAAAGTCACCAAAAAACATCTCAAAAATCAACGGAATATTTTTGCCGCTTGAAACCTGCACTTTATCAGACAAAAATTGTATGGACTATAAAACTGCGTACCCAAAAATGTTGTACAGATTCAGATTAAAGAGCTCGAATTTTTTATGAAAACATGTTGAATTTCCCTAAAGCTTGGCCCATATTTTTGTATGTAGAAAAAACACAAAACTTGAAAAACATTGTAAATATTTACAAAAAAAGTCAAAACGTGAACACTTGTTTCAGTCACTGTATTTAGAAGCAAGTAATTTTTTCACATAACATTTATACAACAAATAAAAATTTCATTATTAATTAACCTCCGCAAATAGGGGTCAAAAAGACCACTAACGAGAGGTGTTAAAGGGTTAAAAGCTTCTAAAAAATATTGCTCGCTTGATTCTACTACATTGATGTAGGCCTTTGAAGCAATTACGTGCAATTTTTAATAACTGATTGTCCCTTTGATTCAAAACACAAATCTTGTTTTTAACCGCATGCAACTATATTAGGAGATAAGAAATATTGTTTTTTTTTACATTTACCCAAAAGTGTCTTAAATCTAATAACAGCAGCAAAGTACAAGATTTAAAATCTACAAAGGAATTCCACGTCAATATCCAAAGCCCCTTAAGCTCAGCTCAGTTGTCATCCATCACCTTCATGATATACTAAGCCCCGCCCAATTCCGCATTGGCTTCGATCAATTCTTGTTGCTGCTGTTGTTGTTGATCTAGCAAGGCATCCAGTACTTTGTTCATATGCTTATCACAACTCGCCAAACAAATGTCGGCATAGCGCGTCAGAAAATACATAAAGCTCTCCAGCTGTTTCATGCTGCAAGCCTTGAAGCCATTATCGCGTCCAATATTGTCTATGGCACTGATGATGACGCGCAGCTTTTGCATATAATGTGGCGACTCGTTTGAGTGTGGTATCGTAGCGTCAGCGATACCCGAGTGATTGGAATAGGTTTTCATACGTTTTTCCAATGCCTTCAGTTTCACCTTCTGTTGCTGTAATTTTTGCAGCATTTCAGGTATCGATTGTGACCAATTAGGTTCCTCCGTCTTGTTCTTAGAATTCTTGAGATCCTCCTCAAAGAGTTTATCCAATGATTCTACATCAAATTTATCCTTGAAGAAATTATCACACATTGTTGCGTTGCTAGAGCGTGGCATAATCATGTCCTCATTGTCCTCCGACGCCACATCGAAATAGTTGCTGCCGATAGGTGATTCAGTGTACTGGCGTAGATCGTTGTTATCGAACTCTGAACCCAGCAAGGAGTAATCCAGATCGCTTGTTTTTATAGAGTTGGAGTTGGAGTTCGAATTCGTAGAGTCGTAAACAGAATTAGGCCAAGCGAAGCGACTACGTCCTTCCAGCCCATTACTACTGCCTTGTAGACCAACTAGCATGCTATAACTGCTCTCCATTGAAAATTTGGGCGTGCTCTGCCAGTTTTCAGGCACGCTGGAGAATTCGTAGTCGTCGACGCCAAATCGTAGCTGCGATTTATCCGTCATCGAGTCGTTGATGAAATTGAACAAGCGCTCAATCTTTTCCGGCGCTAAATGTTTGCCACTGAATGGCACAGCGAGATCACCTGTGGAGAACCAATAGTGTGAGCAGCCTTTGATTGCCGGCAGACGCGTTGAAATGTCCGCTTTGTCGCCAGGATTGTGGATGGAATATTTGTAATCATCGATGCCAAAATGTAAGTCGCGTGTCTCACAGCTCTTCTGGCAGAATATATCGTATAGCAGACGTAGACGATCTGGTGGGTTATAGAAGACATCCAGCGATATGGTAAAGTCCTCAGCGCATACCCAAAACTTCGACGGCTTCTCGTGCTGTTCACTATTGTTGGTCATATTCAAGTTAAACGAGGTACCAAAGAAGCTAGCGTCGGATACAGTCGGCGAGTGGGGTGTTTGCGAACGATCAACCTTATCCAAGGGGCGATCTTCACGAATTACTTGCATAGCTATCGAGCTGCGACGCGATTCGTCAGTTTGTAGTGAGCGACGTCGACTGCTATTGAGTGTGCTTATGGGACTAAGGGCTTGCTGTTGTTGCAGGTGACGTGAGATGCTGCTATTGAAGGCATGTGGCGACTGGTTCTGCAAGCCCCTAACTGGCGTCGATGAGAAGCTTGAGCGATTTTGCTGTAGAGTTTTCTCCAGATCGGGTGTAAGTTTGATGAAAAGAGGCGAGGCGCCTTTACTCCTTCTAGGCTTCGGCACCGGTGCTGTTGTTGGACGTTTCGGACTTTCCATGTCATTTGAACCCGTCTCAAAGCCTAGATCGATAAAACTGTCGAGAAGTTTTTGCAATGTGTCTTCCTCTTGTGGGGTTTTCATTGGTGCTTTCTTAGTTTTTGGTGCATCTACATTGAGCGACTTTTCAGGCGTACGCTTTTCTTGCAGCAGCGCCTGTACTATAGCTGGGGACGAGAGTGATGTCTGGTGACGGACACGTCTGCGCATTATTTCCGGATCGCTCTCCGTCATAAGCGGTTCGCTTTCGGTAGATTTCGAGGGCGTTGACAAATGTGTGAGCGTGTAGACGCTTTTAATTTTATGCGGGGAATTCATATTATTTAGCAGAGTTTGATTCAGCTTAGCCTTTTCTTGCTCCTGATCGACAGCTTGTTGGGCCGCTGCAGCCATTTCCTTGATTTCTTGCGACTTCTTCTGTTCCGATGTCGGAGACTTCTTTGCAAACTGACCGACGTTAACATATACAACTTCTTCATCTTCTGGCTTCGCACGCGCTTTGTGTTCTGTCTCGGAGTCGGTGGACGAGGGGACGAAACGACTTTCAATAATACAACTTTCTTTCTTCCAGGTGAGTGTGCGTCGTAATTTCTTCTTGCGTGGTAGTTTATTAGGCTTGGCAAATTCAAAGTCTATTGCCTTTTGGCAATTGGTAGCTGACGGCGCGGCGTGTTCTGGTTGCGACTCATCGCTTGTAATCTATAAATAAAAGCGAGTAATTAGTACTGAATATTTTTTATTTGACTGTTTGCAATACAAACCTTTGGTAAGCTAGAAAGTCCTGATTCGCTTTCCGCATCCGACTGCTTGCCTGAAGACACCGCTGAAGACAACTCCTGCCGCTCTTGTGCTTTTTCGGCATTTTTCGACGTCGATGCTGCTGTAGGTGGCTGTGGCGCTTGCCGTTTCACTTTACGCTGCATTCGATTAGGCGGCTCGCATTTCATGTCATCGCTAGATGTGCCGGTTTTGCTATTACACAGCTCAACTTCAATAACACTCTTGTCAGCATCTTTCTGTTCTCGTGCCTCGTTAATTATTTTCATTGCTTTTTCCATTTTCTTTCCACCATTACTGTCTCGTCTCATCACTCGCGCCTCCACGCTTTCCAATTTGGCGATCGCCTTTTCCAACAACACATGCACCTTCGATTTGGATTTGATAGAACTTTTTGAAGTGTTCACTTCGTCACCATTTCCGCACAAGGAGTCCTCGCTGTTTTCCACTGTCGTAATATCAAATACCACGCCATTCTTCTCCATGATCCAATCGTAGAACAGACGTTCCATATGCGCATTTTGAAAGATTGTCTTTGGCTGCAAGCGTTCGGTTCTGGTGCGTCGTATCTTTCTAGGCGGCCCGTATGCCTCGAACGAGATTGAGGCACGCATCGATTCATTATTGCGTTTCTGCGTGCGCTCTATTACGCGCATATCGTTTAGGAAACGTTGTTCGCGTGCTTTGCGCGGCAGTGGGCGTGGCACATCGCGCTGCTTTGGCACTTTGCCACTTCGGTCTGGACTCGGCTTGAGTACAACAGTCAACGTGCTGACGTGCAGCTCTTCGGCGTCTACTTCCTCTTCGTCGTTTCCTTCTGCGCACAGATTGTCGGCTTGATTGGCCTGTTCTTCTTCTTGTAGTGAGCGTAAAGCGGCCACTATAGCTGGTGGCGGTGATGGCGAAATACGGCTATTGGCTGCGTCATATTCAGGTGATTTTTGTAGCTTTGCAAGCCGCTTTAGAGCCCATTGAGATATCTTTGGCTTGGGTACATTTAATTTGGCCTCCAATTCGCGTGCCAACTCTTTAACTTTAGGTGGGTTCATTACGGGCTCAGTGCGCGCCAACTCCTGCTGTACGTTAGCCTCGACGACGCGGGCGTGCACGCTAAACTGTGGATGTTGCTTGGACATGTCCTCGATAAATTTGTTGTACAGCAACGCTTTATCCTTTACGGAGAGTTGACGGAAGACATCCTCGGCGACAAGGCAAGCACTTTCGCTGTCGCTCGATTGCTGCGACCCCACAGGTTGACTGGGCCTACGTTTGAAACGTGGGCTGGGCACTGGGCTAGGCAATCCGGCGCGATAAATAGGCAAACCGGCGCGCGCCTTGGTTGAAGGTTTCTTTTGAGATTTACCACTTTGGAATTGCGACTTATTGAGACTGGAGTAGCCTTTTTTCTCCGTTGACTCACGGCGCATCAGTTGGACAATTTTGTTATTGAACATGTTCGCCATTTGCTTTACCTTCGATTTGCGTGACAGTTTAGGCGATTTCTGGACCTTTGGCGCGGGCGTTAGCAAGACAGGTGGCGCTGATCTGCGTTGATCTTTCGATTTCTGAACATTCTCTTGTGGCTTTGGAGTTTGTTCTTCGACCAAGTTCTGTTCATATCTTTTGCGCAGCTCCCGTATGTTGTTTGTGTGCATCACCGATTCCGCATGTGATTTGCTTGTCTTCGGTGAAACGACCTCCTGATATGGTGGCGGTGGCGAACCCATAGATTTGGACATTTGTGTTTGCAAATTGGCGATTGCTGCTGCTACAGTGCCTGTTGTGGGCAGCTTATTGGGTGTATCACAGCGCGACAATCCCGAATCCACGTTAACCTCCTCATCAAAATACTTCATGGCATCCTCAATGCTTTGTGACATATCCAAATCTGTTATTTGCCGTGTACCCAACGAATTTTGGTATTCGAGCGCCGACAAAAAACGATCGTCCTCATAAGAACATTCGTAGATTTCTTCATGTGTCATGGTAGCTTCGAGTGGCGTTGGATGACTGAGGCGGCGATGAATTTTACGTAGCTGCTCCTGCTGTTCGATGTCCTTCGAAATAGAGATGCAATGCTCCAAATTTTCACCGTTAAACGATGAGGTGTTAATCAAAAGCGGCTGCTGTGATGAATTGCCACTCTCAGAGTGATTGGGTGTTGAATTGAGCAACATTTTGTCGTTGATTTCTTTCTGAATTCTTGTTAGTTCTCGTTGATAAATATGCACTTCATAAGCGTGATCGTCTCCTGTGAATTGATCGTTCATACTGAACCGAAAGGATGCTGTACTTGCATTTTATATGCAGTACGGGTAATTTACGCATACGAAAACTTAGCTTAAACAGAATTTGTATTTAAACACACTCTATGCATGCACGCAAATGAGTAAGAAGAGCAAGAATGCGCGAGAGAGCAGGATGGCAGTTGGCGAACATGACTTGAAAACGATCCCCGAAAAGGTATTCGCGATTTTCTAAAGAATTCCATACACTCACGCGAAAATTGCGGATAAATCATTCGTTAGGCTTAACGCCGACGATGCATTGTCTAGCCACCGACCGACATAGCGAATGTCACACACACACACCCACACGCACATGCGCGGTGCTACCTGCCCTACTGCATACCGCCACTAAGCCGCGAGGCGTCCAAGGACAAGCTGGCCACTGCAGCAACTTGTCGCCTATTACCTGCTGCTCGCGCCATTATCATTGCTTGTTAAATACTTTCGAGTTGTTTTAAGAAAGGGACGAAATTGAAATACGGAAAGAAAAGATGCGTGAATTCCTTGAAATGTTTACCTAATTTTCTACTATGGGAAATTTGCATATGCATTTGTTCAACCTTGAATGCGCGTAAGAGCACCGAAAAACCGTGTAGTGAGATTATTAAAATTATTATTCAAACCGTATGTACATAAAAAGCAATTTTAAAATGCTTTTTGTGCATCAAAAATTTTTCCGTACATTTTAACCCTCTTAGTGCAAAAAATCCACCGCTGAATCTAAAAATCTTAAAAATTTGTTTACCAGCTAATTTTGGGTCATTGATTTCAGAAATGTAATCAAAAATTTAAGAAAGCTCTTAGTTTTACCGTTACTCAACGTCCATTATATTGGACAGTGGTACCCTAGATTTGTACACAGGGAAGTCATATCAATCATTTTCTTTTTTTGCAAAATATATCTTAAAACTGGGAATGACATTTAACATTTTTTTTTTCGAATCACAATTCCCCCGAAAAATAGTTAATTTGTTCCTATATATTACAGTATTCAATATCGGCTTTTTTGGCACTTTCCACTTTTATGATAAAACACGGTCAACTGCATCCCAAAAATAGAGCAAAATAAATACGGTAAATAAGAATAATAATATGAAGCTCTTATTTAAGAAAAGAAGAGCTTTAAGTACAAAAAAGTGTGTCCAATATATTGGACGTTTGTACTGAAAGGGTTAATACATTGGCTAGCAGCCACGTTAGCCTTCAACTCGATTGTTTGAAGCAGAAATAAGACATTAGCAGGAAACATATGATGTTTACCAACATACTCATTCAGATATAGTTGACACAGGTTAACGCACATATTGTGGTTTTCCACATACATGCATATGCATGCACGTTATGGTGGTCCAAAAATAGTAAAGTCGGAATTTTAATGCTCTCCACCCGCTAGGATTGTTCTACACCGAAAAAAATTAACCCCTGTTGGTTTATTTTGCAATCAAATAATATTTAGAGGTCGCTCAAAGCGCTCGAAAATTTCCATATATTTTATATGGGGGAAAAACGTCTCGTAGAAATGGTATAGAATTCTTAAAAGTAAATATTTTTAGATCGGAAGACTCTTCAGGAGATTCCCAATAATAATACCAAATGAAGAGAAATAGAGTTTTTCGATTGAAAAATATTGGTTTTCAAGAATTCTGTAGCATTTTTGCGAAAGGTTGTTTGATGAAGGGAACTTCCTGGGAAGGTCGTCAGCCGACTCGCTTCCGGTATGCTCCTGTGTCTCAACACCCATGACATACTGCTCTGCCATCAAATTGAGTGATCGGCATCAATTTATTACAGTTTGCAAGTCGCTTCAGGCAGATTGTAGAGCTTTTAAAGCTGGCGTTTGGTCTGAGAAGATGTAAACGAATTCTGAATTTCGAGGGAGAATATTCGCATTGTGTGAATATTCGCATATTAAATTGCAGTTCGAACCTCATTGGAGGGCAAAAGATTTTTGTAATTTTTCAGAAGCAAACTCCTCCTTACTATTCGACATTTTTTCTTAGAAATTATTATTTGTTGTAGATAGTATAATTGCATTGAAAATTCTTCTTCCTTTGAAAATTAAAAACGAGAAATGTTTCACAAAAAATTACGTTTCAGGCCGAATATTTCTAATTTTCTCTATTTTACGAATAATGACCAGTTACACTTATTTGGGAGCCCTCCAATGTAGGATGACGGTAACTGCCGCCCATAAATTGGCGCCTCAGTCGTTTGCGCTAGAAAACGCGACGCTTAGCGCTTTAATTTAGAGACAGCAGTGACACTCATAGTTCACTCAAATACAGTTCAGTGATGTTATCTGTCTTCCTGTGGGAGAACAGATGGTGGGGAATAATGCAAATGGGGAATAATGCAAGTTTTAAGTTCATTGGCAACACAACTTTGTTTTTGACACGGCTATAAAGAAAATAATAAAATTTTCGTAGAGAAAGGAAATTAGCAAAAGTTTGTCAATAAACTTTTATACACAAAAAATATAATAGCGTAATTTAGTGGAGTCCCTTCGAAGCTATTACTGTTTATTTTGCCTGCCTGTTTGCATTAGCAAAAATAAGTGAAAACAATTTTTATCGAAGAGATATTGCGAATGATGAAATGATGCATTTATTTACACCAAATCGTAAAGTTTTTATTTCTAAAAGTTTATGAAAATATTTTATTTATTCATTTATTGCATTAGGATAATAAAATTAACCTAAACAAAAAAGATTAAGCTCTAGCAGGGCCATCAGCTTCACATAAAAGTGAAACAACTTAGGCACTAGGTACATACATACATATGTATGTATATATAAGGATATCACACTTCAAAGAATAGATTCAATTTATCTATGAATTTCATAAATGTTTTTTACGTTTGAAGTACTTTCAATTTTTAATGTTTCTATTAGACCATTTTCGCTCATTTCTTGACGTAGGTTATCTAGCTGCGGGCAACTCTGGTATGATATGATTTACGGTAAGTATACCATTATTGCAGTATGGCCAGGTGGGGGCCTATGTTTTCTCAAATGCACTTAGTTTTTACAATGAAAATGAGACTCTGAAATTTTGGATTCAGTACATTTAATTTGTTACGTGTTACGTTGTTTTTTTATGTGACAAAAAAGTGTTATGTGTTATCACTATGAAGGGTGCGAACAAGCTGATATCTTATAAGTTTGATCAGGAGTGCAGATAGAATCTGAATATTTTTTTTATTTTTGCAGAGGAAGTTAGAGCTTAGGGTGTGTACTAACATTCTGAAGGAGCCACATTCGGAAACTTTTTGAAATGAAACTTCTTTAGCGGCGGTTGGTTGGTTGAGAGTAAATTGGCAAATTCAATGGAAATTGCACACGGAAATGGTGCAACGGAAATGGTTGGGGCTGAAACAAATACTTCTTGTGTGTATGCATATGGTATTAATTTAACAAAAATTTTCTAATAAAATATTAAAGAATAACACTTAGAAAAAGACCAATACAAGAATGAAAGTAAAGGTGAGTGCGTACATAGATAAAGAAAGTGATAAAGGCAAAGGTAAAAATAAAACCAAAACAAAGATGCGTAAAGATAAAGGCAAAAATGAAGACCAAGGTAAATTTAAATACTTTACTTATATAAGGGGAAAGGTGAAGGGGAATATGTATTTAGATGAAGAAAATGATAAAAGATGCAAAGATTTTGTTATCGATTTTATTATCGATTTTGTCATCGATTATTTATCGATTTGGTTATCGATTATTTATCGATCATTTATCGATTTTGTTTTCGATATTTTTATCGACTTTCTAATTTGTTATTAGTATTTTTATCGATTTTGTTATCCATATTTTTATCGGCATTTTTATCGATTTTATAATCGATTTTGATAAAAATATTATTATCGATTTTGCTATCGAAATTTTAAACGAATTTGTCATCGATTTTGTTGGATGTTACCGTCGGTTTTGTTATCGATAGAGTATAAAGATAAAAATGAAGATAAAGGAAAACAGACTAACAAACGTAATTAGAACGAACAGGGGTAGAGGTAGGGATCTAGATAGAAAAAACACAAAAAATATAACCTTAAGCAAAAGCAGATGTATGGATATGTGCACATAGCATGTATGTATATTGGTTAGGAGACAAAATAGATATGTAACGTAAGTTTCACTTCTCCAGTGTGGCCCAGGCACACTTACTTTTTTTTTTATCAAACAGCAGTCACCACAATGCAGCAGCAATGACAAATTTTCCCAATGCATTTTCGACAGGAAAAGGATTCTCATAAAACACCATTTGCCCTTAGAAGGAACTTTTGGTGCTCCTTTGACCCGCAGTCTTAGTCCTCGGTATAAAAAATGTCTCATAGTCCAATTTATTTAATGGATTTATCTACCGCCACAGAGAAGACTTGTCTATAAATCTCAACCCTGCCTCAAACTATTCCCTGGCTAATGTGAATGAAATAGGATTGAAAAACGAACTACCCTCAGTTTCACAAAAGTGAATAATTAATCCGTGCAATGGAGACTAGTCGATCAATTGTCCTTGCGTGCAGCGTCAAAGGAAGAAAAAAAAAACACAAAAAAGGAAATAATAAAATGTGAAAAAAACCACGATGATTGTCTACATACAGTCATGCAATTGTGGACGATTATACTTCATGATGGCCAAATACTGACGCCAATAGTTTTTCAAGGTGCGACGATGACTCTGGCGATGACGCCTACAGTAGGTTGTGTATGTATGTATATATGTTGAAACAGAAAACAAAATTCGAAATGAAAAAGGGCAGACAAAGGCGATTAGAAACGGTTGAGCTGAGCGGGAGTTGGCGACTTAAATGTAAAAACCAAAAAGAAAATCTGGGTAAACAAAAAAAAAAAACAGGAAAATTAAGGTGAAAATATGTAACCAAATCAGAGTAAAGGTCTTTGAAACCGACACAGGTGGGCATGTGAAATTAAACAGTTTGCCAAGAAAGTACTAAATAAAAGCACTAAACGAAGTTACCGAATATTCTTAAAACCAAATTTAAATTATTGTTCAGAAATGAAAAGAGGAAAGCAAAGTGAAAAAAGTGAAGAGGCACAAAAATTCAAGTAACGAGCATAAACGACAGCTTTAGTTAGCAAAATGGCATAAATATTTCCACTAAATCAATTTTCAAGCACTTGCCTGACATTTTTTTTGTCTTCTAAACTAAACAGCGAGCTGTAGAGCGAGAGGTGGTTTTCGGAAAGCAAAGCGGCGAAAAACAATGTACCTGGCACACATACCAAAACACATTGTATTCGAAAAGGTTTAACTATAGGGCGACTGTGGTTGAAGAACTCTATGATTTTTATGCGTTTTCATTTGCTAGTCTTTGCATACATACAAATAAAACAGGAATATAGTATAGATACAGTGAGCGACAAAAATAAATATACGTTTTGACGATTTTATTTATTTATATTTTCCATACAAAATTTTTCTTGTTTTTTTTTTATAAAAATAAAGTTTCTTCAACAGCAAAAACCACAGGAATATTTTTTCTATTTAATACAGAACTCGGAGAAAATGAAAAAAAAAATTTCTTCGAAATTTTCTTGCCTGCTTCTGAATTCGATTTCTTAGACAAATTTTTAGTAAAAATTTGGTTGCCCATTAAATTTTAATATAACAAAGTGCAAGTTTCAAGTTGCTGAAGCTTTCTGTTGATTTTTGAGAAATTTTTTCGCTGATAGTGTTGCGTACCTTCTTTCAACAAAAAATATGTTTATGCCATATACTAAAACTTAATGTGCTACAAAATAGCTTACTGAAAATTTTTCTACGAAATCGAATTGAAAAGTTAACGTGGAAGAAATTCTTTTGCATTTTTTCCGAGTTCTGTATGAAATTAAAAAATTGATTCATAGGTTTTGCTATGGGATGAACTGAATTTTTGTATTAGAAAATATAAAAATTTTATATATAAAATATACGTAAATAAAATCGACAAAAGATTATGGTATACGGCCTTTCGACGCTCACTGCTCATAAGTGCTCATAAGTGCACATTTTTGTGACACTAACATCTACACTCTGGTAACAATGGATACCTACACATACTCGTACCTACGTAGATACTTTTGTCCCTACATTTAAAAATGAAAGAAATCTCTGCTAGAAATCGCATCAATTCAATTTATTGTAAAGAGGGTTGCCATGCACACAACGCTCATCGCACATTCCACATCTCACGTTGCACAAAACGGAAAGGCCCGTTTGGGGGCGAGCAAAAAAAAAAAAATAAAGTAAAGAAATAAGCAGCAAGTATGCGAAAAGTACGTCATACAAATTTGGGTCACACATGTCGACTTGGCTTGGGTTGACTTTATTCCAGCTGAGCTGCTGTTACTGACATGTCGCCTCCTCTTTGCTGGTGCTTTTATATTTTGAATACTCAAGAGTCAGGGGAGTTAAGCGACTGTAACCCCCTTAGCTACCACTTATTGTACTAAATGAGGCTGCATAACTTAGTGCGCTTAATTCTGCTGTAACTTTTCTATGTGTACTTATATTTACATTTATTTTATATTTATTTTTGCTTTGCAGGACTGCTGTACTTATTACTTTCACCCGTTTGGTTTTATTTGAGTTTTGAGTTTTAACCGCATATTTGACCTTTGTTCGATTTAACATTGAACATGCGCTTGAAACGACGACACTTAATCGACATACTCGAATTTCTATAGACGTCAATAAATAGTACACGATGTTGAGTAGGAAATGGATGAAAACGCGTTGGGTTAAGCTGAGATCGTGTACGCTAGTTTGAAAAAAGTTGTCTCGAGAAAAACACAGAAAAAAAGTACCGCCTTTCTGCCACTCCCATTAAGTGCTGTAACTTCTGCAGTTCTTAAGCTCTTTGCTACTATCTGAGCTCTTAACTACAGTTAAGCGTTAGGTGGAAATAAGCTATTAGTCGTTTTAGATATTAGAGCTGCATTAAGTACATATTTATATACATAAATATGAATTATTGGAGGTCAAATATGGTAAAGTTGTCAGGAAAATATTTGGAATGTACTTTCTTATATCAAAGATTGAAAGGATGTGCATTAGGGTGCATCACTCTACATACAAAAAAAAAACCGTAAACGTTTTTCCATCGGGGTTATAAAATTTATTATAATTAAAGTCTGCCGCCAAAAAACTTCGGAAAGATTTTCCGTGAACTGAACCGATTTGAAAATACTTTTTTTTAAATAAAATTAGTTTTCAAAAATATCGTTTTTTAAATCACCTAAGATGATAGCCGATTCAAAGGTCTGATAAATTTTATTAAGAATTTTAACACCGGAATTAAAATAATGAGGTTTTTGGAGGTATGTACATATATATTTTAAAATCGGTCCAGCTAACGTAAATTTAAATATTTTTCGGTGGAAATTGCATTTTATTTTTGGTGTGGCACCCTAATGATAATAATTTTTTTAAATAAACATGATCTTAATTAAGTATTTAGCTGTTATTAATTTTAAAAATTATTAAAATATAAGAATGTACGTGGCTTTTAACTTATTCTATGAAACAAATGCCTTATTCAAAAGACATTTAAAATTACCTTATTGTACTCGATCATTATTATCAGGTGTGCATTTGTGTATAATTTATTTATTAGCAGTCGTAGTAGTTTGTCGTAAAATTAATAATTTTGTGCCATCACATGTTTTCCATTCAATTCTTTTTCGAAAAGCGCATTGCAACTTTTTATATAAACTACTCCTTGAATTCATTGCAGAAGAACGCAGGTAAAATTGAGAAATCAAACGATAAACTTATGGTAACTTGTATTAAAAGTTATGTTTAAAAAAGTGTAACATGAAAAAAATATATATTTTTTACACTTGGACAGCTTTCAATTTTATTTTACACTAACTTTGTGCTTCAAGTAATTTTGTATTTGACTCTATTTTATTTAAGTTATTTACTTATTATTATATAATTTAATGTAATTTTATTTGATTTAACTTAATTCGATTTAATTTAAATTTATTTAATTATTCAGATTTTTTTTGTTTACTTTTTTGTATATATCTGCGTTCATATGGAAAAGTAGCTTATGTCGAAAGGCTGGCTTTAGTATAAATCGGCATTCGCAGCATATGATTGCGAATGACTTACTGGCGCTGAGCCGTTGAAGAACTTTTGGCAAATAAACCTGCGATAAATAGTTCCGATACTAGCAGGTCAACATTCTTATTAAGTCTCTTCAAAAAATTCCTTGTCCTTTAAGGAATAAAGGGAATGCCGCATTATACTAAAGCCAGCCTTTCGACATAAGCTACTTTTCCATACGAACACAGATATGTATGTATGTAGTATATAAGCTGGCATTTTCAATAGACTAGTCCCACAAGAATTCCATCATTCGTCATTAAATTCATATTTCCAACCAACGCATTTTTTATTTTTAGCCTTCAACGTAATAACTAAGTTCGTATGCCGTCACTAGCCCAGCTGCCCACTTGCAATGCATTGCAATTGAAACAATTGTACTTATTTGTTTTACAAATGTATTGTTGACAGGATAAACGATTTGCCAAGTTATGAACCTTTATGTTCTTGAAATATACACTGCAATTGCAGCAGAATTGTTTTCGAGTGGGTGTTTTTTTTTATTTTAATGAAATGAAGAAATTCATTTGAATATTTTTCTCGTACATGTACGCGAAAATCTCCAAAGAGGATGATATGTTCTTTTTTGTTGGCATGTGTTTGCTATTTCGAGAGCTGAGTGGAAGATCGACCTATCTCGGTAGCCAGTTCGAAAACGCCCTATCTCAGAATTTGCTTGAAAAATGAACTATTTCAGAATTCGGTTAAAAATGCCCTATCTCAGCTGCCGATTCAAAAACGCAATATTTCAACATATTTTCAATACATTTTCAGTTGAGATAGGGTGTTTTTGAACCGAATTCTGAAATAGGGCTTTTTCAATTAAATTCTGAGATAGGGCGTTCATGAAAATTTTTCTGAGATAGGGCGGTTTCGAACCGGCTGCCACTCAGCCGTCGATTCCGAGTATACCTCCATAGAGAGGTCTGGAACTCTATGTTTATTTTCAGCGCACAAAAAAGCAATGGAGAAGTTTAAATTCGAGATTCTAGGCAGAGAAACCTAGAAACTTGGCTCATCAAGGAGAGCATCACCTCGATAATACTATATTACTTTGATTGCTATAACAAATGCATTGTCTGCCTGGTGTTTAGTTTGCCCTCTGTCAGAGATCCCCAGCTGCTATTCGTCCTAAGCTTCAAGTCACTTCACTCTCCCATTTCGTTGATCTCTTCACTCCTATACAACAAAATTGCCACCCTCTTTAAGGTGTGGCTGATGGTTGAGACATTTTCGAATAACTTTACACACAACCCCTAGTTTGTTATTGATTTATCATTTGACGTCTATTTCTGTCTGCCCTGAACATTCCAGCCAGTGCCCGTTGAACATTTGGGGAGCCAAACCCCGAGTAGCCTAAAAAAAATCTTACACTCTCCTTGTTCAGGATAACCACCTAGAGGATATCCTTCTAATCCAGCAGTAGCAGCGTTGTAGTTAACAACAACAAGTGAGCTGCTACGTTAAAAGCTGGTTAAGATGCAATACAGTTCTGTGGGAGCTTAAATTCGAGTCCAGTCAAGGCTTAACTGTCCCACTTAAATCTGTTTTGAATATCACTTTTCTTAGAAAAAAATCGATGAGTTATCCGTAGAACGATACTTTCGTTTTGATACATTAAAATCATTAATATTCAAATTAATTTGTTTTAATCAAATTAGCTCTGCAGTGAGAGAAAGATTCTGCGAAAGTTTTATGGATCTTTACGCGTTGGTGATGGCGAATACCACAGACGATTTAACGATGAGCTGTATGAGCTTTACAACGATATAGAAATATAGTGCAGCGAATTAAAATTCAGCGGCTCGCTGGCTTGGCCATGTCGTTCGAATGAACACGAACGCTCCTGCTCTGAAATTATTCAACGCGGACCGCGATGCTGGTAACAGAGGAAGAGGAAGGCCTGCTCTGCGTTGGGAAGACCAGGTGGAGAAGGACTTAGCTTCACTTGGCATTTCCAATTGGCGTCAGTTGGAGCAGAAGAGAAATGACTAGCGTGCTGTTTTGGACTCGGCCAAAATCGCTTAGGCGGTTACAGCGCCAATGAAGAAGAAGAATAAGCTCTGCGTTCAATGTCTGAAAATAATGAGTGTCCTTTTGTTAAATAAAACAGTTATTTAACGTGAAAATTGCAAGCAATTTGAAACTACGAGAATATTTTAATTACAATTTTTCAGAAGCAACCTGATAGGTCGTTTAAAAAAATTACCTAAGAGGTGGGAGTTATTACAAAAAAGGCTTCCTGCTTGTTAAATAGTTCAAAGCGGACCGACGCATTGTTCAAAAGAAAGGTTCGATTAAAAAGAAGTTACCTGATCGCGAAAGGGCAGGGGGATTTGTGACCACACTAACGAAGAATTCGAACATTTCAGGAATGATTTTTGCGTGGAAATAAGACAAGACACAACGTAGAAGATTTATATGCTGAAAAAAGTTCAAGAAGGATACCGAAAAATAACGAGCTGAAACAATTGTTTGTTTTTTTTTTTTTTGAAATTCGTGTCCTGCGTAATAAACTACGAGGGTACGATTTTAAACTAATAAAAACTGTGACAAGAATTTGTCAGTGATGCAGAATGTAGCCGTTAGAGTGGCTTAAAGGCATAATCCACCAAACTGTTGCAAACTTAGGGCAAATTAGGACCAAAGACCTTCAAGCCTACCAAATACGATCGATACGATATACAGTCAGCGTCAAAAATATGAATACCCTGACATTTTGACGTTTTTCTTCTTTTATATTTTCCATACCAATTGGTTTTTATTTTGTTATAAAAATATAATTCATTCTACAGCAAAACCCAGCAGAACCGATTTATTCAATTCCATATAGAAGTCGGGAAAATTTAAGAAATACCAAAGAATTCTATAAAATATTAAAATTTTCAATTCGATTTCTTAGACAAATTTTGAGTACGCAGTTTTGTAGCCCATTAAATTTTAATAAAATTAGGCGCAACTTTCAGGTCTCTAAAAATTACCGTTGAACAAAATCTATTTTTATGTGGGAGAAAATGCGCAACACCCTCGACAAAAAAAAAAATTATAGACTTGAAACTTGCACCTCAGTAAATGGAATTGAAAATTTGAAAATTTTGATGACAATTTTTTGGTAATTCTTGAATTATCCCGAGTTATATACGAAATTGAAAAAATTTGGTCTGGAAAATGTAAATAAAGAAACGTCAGGGTATTCATATTTTCGACGCTGACTGTATGTATTAAAAAAGTGCCAGCAAAATCAAACCTGCGGGATTATTTCTGTCTTGAAAAAACTTCTCTATGAAAGGTGCCCCCATTTCAGTTACATAACATATGCAAAGCGCGACCAAACACTAAAAATATGGTAGCGCCAAGTATTTTTTTTTTTTTTAATTTTTTTTAGCATACATTTGGATTACTAATAAATTTGCTAAAATTTTGCTGAGGCTATCGACTTTCGGCGATGCATAAGGATCTCTTCCTCTCCAACGTTTATCCAGCAAACCATTTACTTAATTGTTGACACTAAGCTAAAGAAGAAGAAGAATGAAATACCACAGATTAGTGTACACGAAAACGCTTAAGTAATAGCTTAAGGGTGAAACCGCGCGCGTTCTTTAGGTCAAATTGGGGTTTTCCACACCGGCTGTTTGTACACACGCAGTTGTGATAAAACAACAACAAACCACGGTTTGTGTATAAAGTTATTTGACTGCTGGAATGGCATGAAAATGTCACAACCATCAACCACACCTTGAGGAGGGTGGCAATTTGGCAATACGTGAGTGAAGAGATCACGAAAAAGGGCAAGTGAAGTGGTTTGAAGCCTAGGACGATAACTGCTGCCGTGAGCCTCGCAGATATTTCTCAATTTAATTAATAGCATTTCCGCATTACAAACAGAGCGGCGGGCGGATACACAGAACTTCCGTGCTGTTGGCGCTCAAAAGGGTGAAATTATGTTGAGGTATGAAATGGTGAGTGTGTGTGTGTTTTTGTATGTGTATCAAACTGCACAAAAAAAAAAGTTTCGTGTATAGAGGCAGCTCATCAACACCCAACAGCTGTGGCAGACGCGAAATTGAGTAAAGGCTGATGTTCTAGGCGCACCTAGCGCGACGTAGACACACCTCTTAAATCAACTGGCGAAGGTTTTCGTTTACTCTTTTCGTGTCTTTTTGCGCACCCTTTTCGCGTAAGAACTTCAAGTGCGCTCAAGCGATTTTTTCACACTTCACAGAAAACTTTTTCGAGAGTAATTTATTTTCACAATTTTTCAGCTACTGTATTCACTTGATTTAACGAAAACTTCACTGCTACGAAAGTTGATGTGTGCACGTTGTAACGCCAAAAAGTATGCTCGACACAAATGACCTTAAACGTATAGAAGAAATGTCACTCGCGCTCAAGCACAGCGTAAAATAAAACAACAACAAAAAAAAACTACAAACGATAGCGACAATGTGTGACACTGGCTGACAGTATACCGCAGCGCAGCGCAGTTCAAGCGCGCTCGGTAGGCGAAAGGGTGCAGGAGAGCGCCTCGGCGCGCGGTGAGCTGTTGGCACTTGGAGATGGCGAAGTCATCAATTATACGCTGGATTGCCAAAAAAATACAAATTTGGTGAACGACTTGATTGTAACTCGATTGGGTTCGATTGGCAATTTTAGCTACACTGTGGTGGCAAAGCGGTGGGATTATGTGGACAGCGGAAAACTAAGTACATAGTTTCCATATTTTTTTTTTTTTACTAAAAAAAACACCAACAACACAACAACTATGCATTTTCTCCAAGCAACTTTGTGTACGGCGATTTTAATATAAATTTTCAGTGATTTTTATTCTTCGTAATTTCATACTTCAAAGCGCATTTTCCACATTTTCACGCAAAAACTTTAGCAACACATCTTCACACGGCGAGGGAAAGCGCATTTTTCGCCAGCTGCATAATTTTTATCACCTATAAAAGAAAATCCTATAAGATTTTCTTATTTTTCATGTGAATTTTCACCACATACTACTACGTTTTCCCAAATGCTACGCTCGGCCAACATAGCCTCTCGTTGTCACATCAAAGCCAAAGTTGGAATTGTGTGATAGATACTCGTAGTTGCTGCTGTGCTACTATAGAAAAGCAAGCCAAGCCAAGCTAGCATAGTCGTATGCCGAAGTAAAAGCCAAGCGAAGTCTGTGTGAGGGTGTGTGTGTGTGTGTGTGTGTGCAGGATATGGAGCACACACACACACACACACACGCACATCCGCACAAAATTTAGTAAGGAAAACAAAAAAGGAAAATGTATATGCATCTAGGAAAAACCTTAAAGAGTAAACGTATTGGCACACAAACAAACAAACACTAGCCTACAATAAGGACACACATATCACCGAAACACTAAATATACCCGTCGTACATTGAGCATTTCCTCAAAAAGCGCATACGATGAAATTTGTTGGCCTGGCCGTCTCAAATTTGTTGGCAGCCGTTTTGCTGCTTTGGTAGAGGAAAACAAGGTATAGTAGAGCACAATGGTATAAAAAAGGAACAAAACCAACAACAACAACAAGTAAGGTAAACTTGCACATGCTGAATACAGGAAGCTTTCTATGTGCCACACAAATACTTGTACACGCAACGTAAGCGACGTCCTCTATGCAATTTACTCTGGGGCGCATCCATGAAATGAGCAATCAATAGCGAAAGCAACAGTCGGCTGTTTGTGTGGATTGTGGAAAATCAGATATAGAGAGACAGAGGAAAAAAAAGAGGGAGAGGAACGCTCTCTAAGTCAAAGCTTTTTTAGTGTCAAAAGGGATGTGTATGAATTGAAAGCAAGCCAAAGCACAGGATTGTTGAGGATAGCACGAAAGTAAAAAATGTAGTAAATGTCAGAGACATGGAGAAAAGCTTAGTAAACTTTAGGGAAAGTTGAGGTTTTACAAAAGCTTTTATCTGATGATGAAACGACTTGCTTGCTATAATTTAATTTATTTACTATAAAATAGGAAATTAAAGAAAGTGATAATCGCATAGAAAGAAATACGTGGAAACTAGCCCAATACTTTCCCTCACAACAGCTATGGCAGCGGTATAAGAATGCTTAAGCCAAAATCTTCAAAATCGTTGGGAGCCATTCGGTATAAAACCGTTCTATTCAACTAAAAGCCAGCCATAAATCGACACACGCCATTTTGTGGTCGATTTTAAAGCCGCTTTTGGTAGCACGAAATACGACTATGTAGATGGACCTTGAGCGCAATCTTCCACTCTATTCAAATTGAGAAGGACCTCTTGGAGTCGTTTGAGACCAAACGAGCTTTTAGCCCAAGCGATCACTCTCGTGCGACTTCTTGGATTTGAGTTTATAATAAAAACTACTTGAAAACAATTGTAGGGTTTTCCAAATGAAAGAAAAAAAAAATAAATAAATAAGATGAAATGTTATACAAAAATGTTCACCAAAATATTTTTTATTTGTTTTTGGTTTAAGAAAAATTGTGGGCAGTTTGCAGTTGTATAGACAATTAAATTTTAGTATAATAAAGTGCAAGTTGCAAGTGGCTAAGAGTTCGCGTTGATCTTGGACATAGTTAAGCCCATAAAAACAAACAACGACTACGCTGGCTTGGCCATGTACGCATGGACAACGGCACTTCAGTGAAAATATCCTTTGACTCGGCACCCATGGCTGGACCTGTCTGCAGTCGGGATGAGCAACTGGCGGAAATTCGTACAGGAAAGGTAATTGGAGAAGCTTTTTCGTATCGGCCTAAACCGACAAACGGTTGTATTGCCAAATAAGAGGAAGCTAAGTTTAGAGAACAAATCAGAGAAGTATAAAGGGCAGATACAGTTTGATTATTTACTTTAACTCAGGTCAGGTAAGGTTAAGTTACCTGCTATTAAAGAGTTTACTCCGAAGTTACAGATCCATAACGGGTGTTGACAAAAAAATGAGAATAATGTTGAACACATAATAAAACTATAGTTTAAAAAACTTAAACCTCGCTATTAAAATTTTCCATTCGTACTGTCATCAGGTTACTTTAAAATTGAAGTTTAAAGCAATTCCCATTCGTACTGTCGTCAGGTATGTAACTTGAGAATGGAAATCGCTGCATCTTTTAGGCGCATTAATATTACATAGTTACATCCCGAGCTAATAAAAGCGAGGTAATAATAAAAAAGGTGGTAGTAGCAATGACGGAGTAGGCTGAGGTCAGACCCATTTCTTTGATAATCGTACATCAGTTTGATATACTTTAGTGAATTGTACTAAATCTTGCTAGTTTAAAAATGTGTTCCAAGCAAAAAGATGTTCGTACGTCGGCTGTAAAATATTGCGAAAATCATAATTGCTCATTAAAAAGTATATAATGGACAACTTTAAGCTTTAAAATGTTCCGATTTCGATCATGTATAGAATTCTTAAAACTTATAGCAATCGGAGAAAGTGTGGTTCGGAGGAAAAACCAACCATAAAGACCCGAAGAACAATCGTAAAACTCAGATCCAAATTGTGACAACATATCGCACGTTTAATAATATACAGAATTACTTATTTCTCGAATAGTTGGTATACCAAAACACAGATGGAAATACACCTATCTTCGCCATTTTTAGGAAGTTAAGGAATCTGTTAAACTATGTTTACTTACATATACAAAGAATCTCAATCAAAGGTCGTTTGTTAATCACCCCATTTACACAGGAAAATCTCAGATTACTAGCCGTCAAATTTGTTGTGCTGGTTATTCCCACATCTCAAAGAAATGGTAAGTTTCTTCTCTATGCCGTTGTGATCACTTTTTCTGCTATATTAAGCAATTTAAGTATAAATTTTAACTTATTATTTTATTACAACACCTACCTTTAAACACCTCTTTTCTTTGCTAGCGTCCATTTTTGTTTACTATCACATTTGACATTTCTCCCCTCTTTCGCAAAAATAATCGGTACAACGAAAAGTTATCGGTTTAAGATGATTGAGATTATTTTATAATTACAGATAAACGAGGGACGANAACTTCAATATTTCGAAATTGAAGGACGCTAATTTGCTCAAAATTTTTACCATCTAGCGGAAGGTTTCGGAAAGGTAAAAAAACATATATTTAATACTTGCGCCGGGTATTTAATGTTCGGCTCCGCCCGAACTTAGACTTTCTTACTTGTTTCTAATTAAAGATTAGCGAATTAATCTGGAAAATGCGGATAATCTACTTATATGTAAACCTAGCGTTAGGCTGAACATATTCTACTCTTCAAGCTTATTAATTGTATGATAAAATCTCTAAAAACGTAAATTTTGATTTCCATCTCTATATTATTAAACATGCGATAGGTAAGTCAGCGGATTGAGCCAAAAGTTCGTTAAAAAATTACGCTTTGCTCTCAAGGAGTTTACTTTGGGAGCCTACATTTATTGCAAGGTATTGGGAAGCTTTAATCAATGCTATTACCATGCATCATTGAACCATTTCAATATTTTGCTAAAGAGTTCCACAACACCATTTGCAAAACGATATTTATCATAAGTGCTAATCGATCTTTGGCTAATTGATTTTTTCTGCGTTATTTTTAATTTTTTATTCAGACATTCTATGTAGCACTACACTTGAGTTCAAGTGAGTATCGTGTCGCTTTCAATATGCAGCATCAATTTAAAGTAAATCAGTGTTGACACGAGAAACTCAATTCAATGTGAAAGCTGCGATGGAAGCACTTCTAATCCAATTGCATGTGTAAACAAGTGCGTAGCTTCACCTAAAGCTGCTCAATAATTCACGCTGATAAGTATAGAACGCTCAACCTACATCTTGTGGTGCATACATAGAGCCAAGAGCCATAGAGCCAAGTGAAAAATAATAGCGACGCGACATTTTGAGCAGTTTTATTAATTTTTTTGTTTGTTTGTTTATTGTTTATTTTTTTTATAAAAATACAGCTCTTTATCTAACAAAAACCAGATAAGTGCAAATTTTGAACTTTGTAGAAAAATTTGAAAATTTCAACAAAATTATACAACAACAACAGACTGTGATATTAAGCTATAATTTAATGGGCTACGAAACTGCATACTTAGAATGTTTCTTAAAATTCGTAACAAAAAGTTTGTAGTTGTAAAATTTTGTCGAATTTTTCTTATTTTTGTAAATAGTTTGAAATTTGGTATTATATAGTTTTTGCTGGTTAATTGGCTGTATTTTTATAAAGAAAAAATAAAAAATAAACAATAAACAAACAAAAGAAAAACACCCAAAACCGGTCAAAATGTTGTGTCGCTATTATTTTCACATGACTGTATGTATGTACGTGATTTATATATTCATATTGAATCCATAATACCTTGCGACTCTAGCCAACATTTCAGTGGGATTAATTTATAAGAATATAAATAAATCCGAACAAGTCATTGATTCGCGAAAAGAGTTTGGCTATTTCGTGGCTAGACTTTACATTTACTTTTGTAATCTAGCCATACAATTTCAGAAACTCTTTATTGGCTTGTTTCATGCCATTTTTTTTTTTTTACAAATTTAATACTTAAAAAAATCTACAATTACTGCTTGCATTGGCATATCCTCTTTTAGGACAGCAGGTTTCTTTGAATATCACGGAAAACTATAATATCACTGTGTCTCTTTTAGATAATTTGGGTACGCTGATTTCAATGGTGTTAACCGGTTTGCAGAATTGGCACATGACTCCGTACATAATTTTTAAATCAAAACTTTGCCTAAAAAGTAGGGATTTTTCTCTAAATTATTCTCTGAAAGTCCGAATAAAACGTTGAATTTTCAACGAAAACTAGAGGAACTATTAAAAAATCATATTTCAGGATACAATAAAACCATTTGTATTTCGATCCCATATGTGGTTTTTGAGCTTTTTTGTTACTTTTTTACCGAACAAATTTTATTTCAACTTTTCGCCATTTATTAGACTAAAAATTGTTTTACATCATCCGTAAATAATGGTTGTATTTTATGAACTTAAAAACAACAACAGTGTATATAATGACTTTTTAAGGTAATCATCATATCAAATTATTTCCATCTTCATATACAAATATTATAAATTAACAAACATTTAGCCTTACCCAATACTACTTAATTCTTTATATCTTCAATTACAAATATTTCCCTGCCTTCAAGGCGCTAAATTTGGGTATTGGGTAATGCAATTAATTTTAATGAAGATTACCCGAGTTGTGCAATTACCAGTTCATCGAACCCATCTGAATAACCTGTTTCTTTATTTGGGTACTCTTTATTGTAACAGCAGAGCTGCGTACGGCATGAAATTGATTTTTTTTTAGAAGGGAAAATGTGCTTAACTATTTTATGACTACATCTCGCTCATAAAATAGTTAATTTAAAAGTAAAAGTATGACGGAGTTACATAAATCAAAGATGTTTTGTTTAATTCACACACTTTGAGCTAAAAAAATGTAGGAAGCTAAACAATGGCCGTATGACAGTATCGCATTAAAAAAATCCTGGGAAAACGGATAGGTATACTCACATCCAAAAAACACTCAACTGTGCCGATGCGTTAAAGTTTTATATGAACGCACTAATTTACACTGAGAAAAAAAAAGTTAGTTTCGACAACTAAATGTATTTATATATAGATACATATATACGAAAATGTTCAGAATGAAAAGAGAAATCGATTAAGCCACGTTTGTCCGCCCGTCCGTTTGTCTGTGCACACGATAACTCTAGTAAAAATTTAGATATCTAAATGAAAATTGGCCCCTGTATCTCTATTGAGCAACGGCCAGATGGTATTGAAAATGAAAAAAATTGGACAATAACCACGCTTACCTTCCATATTGCGGTACTTGGCTGAAATATGAAAACTGCGATATTTAAGTAACTCCTGAAGCTTATCAACTCAAAATTGACATTTACTCTTGGCGGAAAAGAGAGCTGGGTAAACGAAATTACATTCCAACTACAATTACATTCCTCAGTAATGCTTTCAGTCCACAGCAAAGAAATTGATTAGATTTTAAATTCTTTTTCCATGGCAAGGAATTTGGACATATTGGAGTTGCAGCTAGCAACTAGGAAATTGAAGAAAGCTATTGAAATTCAACAATCAATAAATTATTTAATAAGTTTTTTAAATTACTTTCAGGAATGGAATTCAAAGCAAAAGTTCTATTTTTCCTTTCAACTGAATTGCAAAAAAAAAACTGATTACTTTATCAATTCCTTTCAAAGGAATTGGAAACAATTACATTTCTTGCACGCAATTAATTCTAATTACAACATGCAACTCCTTGTAATGGAATTTGAAAAAAAAAACGTNTGCTTAACTATTTTATGACTACATCTCGCTCATAAAATAGTTAATTTAAAAGTAAAAGTATGACGGAGTTACATAAATCAAAGATGTTTTGTTTAATTCACACACTTTGAGCTAAAAAAATGTAGGAAGCTAAACAATGGCCGTATGACAGTATCGCATTAAAAAAATCCTGGGAAAACGGATAGGTATACTCACATCCAAAAAACACTCAACTGTGCCGATGCGTTAAAGTTTTATATGAACGCACTAATTTACACTGAGAAAAAAAAAGTTAGTTTCGACAACTAAATGTATTTATATATAGATACATATATACGAAAATGTTCAGAATGAAAAGAGAAATCGATTAAGCCACGTTTGTCCGCCCGTCCGTTTGTCTGTGCACACGATAACTCTAGTAAAAATTTAGATATCTAAATGAAAATTGGCCCCTGTATCTCTATTGAGCAACGGCCAGATGGTATTGAAAATGAAAAAAATTGGACAATAACCACGCTTACCTTCCATATTGCGGTACTTGGCTGAAATATGAAAACTGCGATATTTAAGTAACTCCTGAAGCTTATCAACTCAAAATTGACATTTACTCTTGGCGGAAAAGAGAGCTGGGTAAACGAAATTACATTCCAACTACAATTACATTCCTCAGTAATGCTTTCAGTCCACAGCAAAGAAATTGATTAGATTTTAAATTCTTTTTCCATGGCAAGGAATTTGGACATATTGGAGTTGCAGCTAGCAACTAGGAAATTGAAGAAAGCTATTGAAATTCAACAATCAATAAATTATTTAATAAGTTTTTTAAATTACTTTCAGGAATGGAATTCAAAGCAAAAGTTCTATTTTTCCTTTCAACTGAATTGCAAAAAAAAAACTGATTACTTTATCAATTCCTTTCAAAGGAATTGGAAACAATTACATTTCTTGCACGCAATTAATTCTAATTACAACATGCAACTCCTTGTAATGGAATTTGAAAAAAAAAACGTTTAAAAATACTTCTAAGGAATTGAAAAATCAATTAAGTTCTCCTAAGTTTGGCATAGTTGTTACCCTGGATAAAAATCCAACGCCTGAAAATTAAAAAAAATCGGAAAATAACCACGCCCACATCTCACATAAGGATAATTTAGAGAAATACGAAACCTACGATAATTCAGTAGGTTAGATTAAGGGGTCTTGTGTGGAATATTCCATACTTTTACTCGGAGAGATAATTCTTTATTGTGAGTACCATCTTTAAGCGAATGTCAGGAGGAGACACGTACCTATAAACAAAAGAGTAGGTTCAAGTCATTATTCTGCTGAATCAATTACTATCTCTAATAAAGCCGAGCAGATCCAACAGTTCCACCGCTGCTATCTCGCCAAGACCGTTGAAAAAGCGTGAACCAAAGTGCTTGAGGCGCTTCGTCTGTAGACTTGGATATCGACACAGAAAGTGGACAATTGTCTCTTCTCTCTTTATAATTTCGCCAACGTAAGTTTGTATTGGACCAGGTCGGTGGTACCCAAAAGAAATGAATTATTCTTCATTACCCGCTCTAATATTAAGTCTGTTGTTTATAAGATAGCCTCGGTTCCAAAATCCCTGAGTCCCACAAATCAAGATTTACATTCCTTTCGACAAACCAAACAGACGACCTTACAACAAATAGCCAGACTTTCTTAATTCTGCCATGCTAAATTTCTCGAAAAAATATTATTCATCAAAGCGAGGGTAAACAGTTTTCATTATCATCCAACAGATTGTGAAGTTATGCATATTTAAAAAATCATGATTTTGATGGTTAGTCCGTTTTTTTATTTCTTACATTATGATTCTTGTACGATATATAAAAATATATACATACTTACAAACTACTATTTAAAATCAATTTTTATTATAATCAATTTAGTGCTTAAAACTAGTCTTACAATAAAATAAGTAGTTTTGTTTTCATAATTTGGCGCTGCCTCTTCTGCGTATATTTCTGAATACTTTTACTTAAGATTTCAGTCATACATTTTAATGCCAAATATTTTAAATCATCAACCGGTTCTCGTTATTTACATGTGTAATCTCTTAGAGATTTCTTTGGAATCGCTCACCTATAAACGTATGCTTCCACGCTAAACCTCTTACAAAGTCATGTAGCGCAATGCTTTGTCCAAAATTTCCATATCCTTTGCCTTCACCTCCTCCTCAATGACATTCTTCAACTTCTTTCTGATATAACGACCTGCAAAACGTTTATATTTCTGCTTGATGACTTCGTGTAAGTCACGTTCCTCAGATTGATCCTTGCTTACGTTGAGATTTGAGGTAGCTTTCTTGATAAACCCGCTCAACTGCTCCTCACTCTCTTTTGGCTTGTCATGCGTCAATTCGCGTCTCAATATCAAAGCGAGTATGCGTGAACGTGCTGAACGCTTCGGCTTCTCGAAGATCGGTTTTGCGCGGTAACGCATTGGTTTTGGTGGCGGTGTCGTAAGAACCTCGGGCAGCGGAAATACGCCAGATTCTTCGGAATCAGAACCAGAGTTGACTTTCGATGATTTTGTTGGTGTTGTAAACAGCAGCCGTGGTTTCTTCGATTGGCCATTCGGCGTGGAACGTGGGCTAGTGCTAGCATCACTGAAGTAGGTCTCATCTTCATCGGAAGAACGACGTTGTGAAATGGGACGCTTTGGTTTCGGCTGGTTGGTATGATTCGCGGTAACTGTTTGAGTTTCGGATTTCGTTTGTGCTGTTTCTTCGTTAAAATGCAACTCCTGTAGTTCCTCTATAAGCGATGATGTAGGGCTGGGCGCACAACCCACTGCGGTTACCGATGTCGGCGGCTGAAATTGAGCGTGTAGCAGCGCACGCGTTTCACGTATTTGCTCCTTGCGCCGCTGACGACGCTCATGTTTTTCACGTTTCAGATTTTGTATGATTTCCAAGTTTTCAATGAACAACAGGAGATCTTCTTGGGAGAAGTGCGATGTGTTGACACGAAATTCCGATGTAGAATCAAAAACGGGTATGGAGAAATAACTAGCGTTTTTATGTGTAGCCATTGCGTGGTGAATTTTTTGCGTAAATAATTCTCACACTTTTTGAGTTCGATTTCTGCTCCAGCAGTTGTTTGTTTTGCAACTATTCGTTTGCGAATGCTACTCCCTACCTCAGGTGCTCAGCTTTTATAGCGAGTTTCGTGTGTGCACACAGGTAGTCAGGAGAGTTCTCGTCACTCACCGGTAGTAAACTCCCGTATCTAGGAATCTTCATAATTACCAATGTCGTTGGCGCGCGTCAATCTCAATCTAGATATGTCTGTGTCTACCTGTCTCGCCAAATCTGCAAATTTGCGGGCGTGTCGCCACGACAGCTATTTCAAGCATGACTAATTTTCCATGATCCTTACAGCTCGCTAGCTACGCTCTTTGCAAATACTATCTAGTACACGTGTACACACATAAATGTAAGATGACCTGCTTAATAGCGGTGTATTGCTGCTGACACCTTTAATGAATAAAGGTATTGTTTACCTTGAGTTGACTACCTTTGTATGTGCGCGCTCTCGCGCGGACACTTTCGCGCTGAACAAAAGATCATTTCGCATTCTTTTGTTTGTGAAAAAACTATTTATGTATTGTCGCGGGAAAATCCGCGATGTGTATTTTTACGTGGAAAATTACTTATTTGCATAGGTGTGCTATTTAAATTTTGCCTCTTTACATATTGCCTGTTTTTGAAGGATATTCTCCCGCACAGCTTTGTTCGAAGAAATTGAATATCTTACGGTGGCAAGATTTCACTGTTGCTGAAGACTTTCAGCAGTTTACCTTTGTGAAAACCAAAAATGCTTCGCTTTTCTTTTGTACGAAGTGCTGGTCCGCTAATCCAAATGACATGTGTTCAAGGACAAATTCATACTTGAGTGAAGGATTGCTGGTACTGCTGCGTAAATTATAGGTAACCACTCACTTATTATTTCACGAGTGTTTTTCTAGAACGTTTAGGGATCGAAAGAAATTTAAAGCAGAAAGTACCTACAGAAGTGTGAAATGACCAAAGCTAAATGAATGCTGTGTAGTATAAAAGCCTTTCAGCAAAAAATCTGTGTATTAATGATGTTTCTTGAGGGTAAGCAAATGAAAGTACAGGCAGCACAATAACTCAAACAAAAAATTTACCAAAGGACGAACTGATGTCTATGAATTATGAAATATGAAAGATAAATTAATCCGCAAGGTGGCGCGGGTGTCGAGATATTTGAAAAATCTGTATATATGGACCGATATGGTTCATATTTGGAATGTAATATTATCTATATGAAAAGGAATAACTTCAATGGCCTTTAACATTTTTTTTTGTACAATTTAATTTGAAGCGAACTCATTATGATGAGCGGAAATCTTAAAGTAAAATTTCGTTATAAAAATTAATTCGACCCCGAATGCTGCGATTCGCACCATTATTAAATGACATCTTTTTTAGATATTTACTGTTTTAGGGTTGGAAATTATGAAGATACAAGTTAGGTAAAGCCTGCTGGCCTCTGTAGCCGAGTGGTTAGAGGTGCGTACTACCACTCCGTTGGCTCAAGGTTCGATCATTGGTCAAAGCTATTTGTCTTCCGGAGGCGGCTTGAAACTTTAGTCTACCTATTTGTGTACAAACATCAAAACGCTCAGCACAAATTGGAGGAGAAGTACGGCCCAATACTTAGCAAAAGTGAAAGCCGCAACGTACAAAATCTTTATTCAGCACATCTTAGTTGATACTAATAAAATTGCAACATCGAGAGGATAGGTCTCGCAACTAATCGAGTCCTATATAATGAAGCCCAATCAACCGCCTAGCACTCATACTACATAGGAAAAATAAATTCAAACGGGGAAACCTTGTCGGACACTTTGAAATCAGGAAGGAATAGAAGGCAACCATGGCCAAAACTCTGTCCTCAGACCAAATTGATGTCGTCTTCAGCTTTAAGAAGCAAACAACTGTGTGGAGCACTACGTGCTACTGCAACAAACACATGCACATGCTTGGCCTCTGTAGTACAGACATTTGCAGGTTTCTTGTGTAATAAATAAATAAAATAATAAAGGTAATTTTAGAGCTGCCTGCACGAAAAAAAAAAAATGACAGTGCCCTCGGGTTAGGTGTCAAGGGGCTCACTTAATCGTAAGCGTTGGTCTATTGTAATACAACTGCGAACGGTAACTGCCAAGTAAAAGCGATAATCCCTGTGTGTCGAGAACGAAGTTTCACAGGTGGCAGATGTTAGTCCCGGATGCAGCTGCGACAAAAAGGTCTATTCTGATATTTAATTTCACTATATGAACCCCGATAGGACAATGGCCTGCCAGTATACCCACCAGAATTGAGAGAATTGGATTCGTGAGCGTAGGTCTAGGGCCCTCGTTTTTTCCCAGCGTTTGCTGAGTTGACCCGAGACCCATCTTTCCAAGAGCAGTCCACAAGCAGTCAAGGTAACTCCCACTCAGCTGTCTCCTCTTGGCGATATTGGCTCGATGGTGCTTGCTACCGCTGGCCAGTTCATCAGCCACACAATTTCCTGCGATAAACATAACTATGGCCTACGTGACCAAAAGTGAATTAAGGAATTACCCTAAAATCTTTGCGCGTATCGCAAGCGATACCAGGACTCTTATTGCCGCCTGGATGCCTGAGTATATATTAACCTCTCTTAGCGCAGTCACGCACAACATCAGCAATGGATGGTTTCCTTAATTGCAGCAATCTCTGCCTGAAAAAAACTACAGTAATCAGGAAGCCTAAATTTAAGGTTTGTGGATAGCTACTTGGCAAAGACCCCTTTGGCCAGGCCTCGACCTACCTATGTAACAGTTCACCGGTGCCTCCTCCCAACAACTGCCCTCGTCCAATCATCCCTTGATGCGATGTGCATATTATCAGGGATGAAATCGAAGCCCCTGAGAATACCAGAGGACCCAGACTCCGAGTCAGTCAGGCAACCAGTGCCCCTTTCTGCGGCTGCGATATCGACAGGTGGGAGTGGTGCTAAGTGCCTGCTGATTCCAATGAGGGTAGCAAGTTCCACTCGCTCCAGCCAACTGACTAAGATAGCCTTCTCCAATGAATTCTACCAGACGAAGACTACACAAAACATAATGGGCTTAGATATGGTTTCATAGAGTCAGGAAATAACTCGCGACTGCTGTTGCCAATTATTTTTTTTGCTTGCCTTTTTTTTAGTCTTATGCTAGTGGAAGACGTTATTTTACATACATACATACATACATACATACGCTTCTCGCCAAACTAATTTTCGTTTCGAAACGAAAAATTACTTCATCTGAAAGTCATCTAGAATATTTCCGTTTCTTAAACAACAATCGCATTGTCCTCATAATTACATTCAAAAATTACACAAAAACTTGCAGCATCCTGAACTTCCCACTTTAATAAGTGTAGAACGTCAACTAATAAAAAGTGACTGCTTTTGATAAACAACAGACTGCTTGAAATGAATTAAACAATTGTGCTCGCAACTCAGTCAAAGCTGATGCTGACATTTAACCCTTTGTTGCATATTGAATGTACAACTTGGCCAGACACAAGTATAGCCCGTTGCTGATGCTGATATGAAGGGCAGTAAGAAGTTCGAAAAAAAGTACAAGTTGCTTTCGAAATCTTATTGTTGATGGGCAGCGCTGACTTTCTCAAACTAGCTAAGTGGATTTTAATTTAAAGATAATCTGCGGCAGTAAAGCAATTGGTTTGAAGTGCGTTCAACAGATGCATACATATGTACCTAAATAAGTATGTATACAAGAGGGTACCGACTTAAAGAAAATTAAGATATGAATGGAAAAACTTTTAGTCATATAAACAGCATCAGTAAGGGTAATAATGACGTGACGAAGAGAGTCTGCCGCGAAATTTCCACATAATAACTGCCGAAATAATACGCCAATTTAGTCATGTAAAAATCAACAACCGGCACTTATAAATAATCGCACTTTTCCTGTATTTTGCTTTTATGCTCCAATTCTTTTTTCTTTGTCTTAAACCTTTGTACTATTTATTTGCATAAATTAATCTGTAAAATTTCGCTTTTCTTTCTGTATTTTCAAAATATGTTAATACCTTTCCTTTCATTCGCCTTTTGTATGTAAATTCGTTGTTGTTGTCATTTTCACCCATTTGCGGCTTTGTATTTATTTATGTGTAATGCCAGTCGAGTCTCTCGGTCACAGCTGTCAAATTAGTGTAATTTTTAGTTTGACTTTCAGTTGTGGTCGCACACCGCTCATCACTATGTAGCGTCAGCGTCACTGTCTGCAAATTACATAGGTATGTTCGTATGTATGTATGTATGTTTGTATGTACATCTCTGGTATTCAACAATTTTCGTTGTCGCCAAACTTGTCCGTCATTGTTATTTTGTGGTCATCGTATTTTTCATTTTGCCTTGTTCGAAATCCTCTCATCAGCCTACAAATGCGGAGTCTCATTTGTCTAGCACAGCAGGTTNTAAAAAGTGTATCCATCTGCTGAAAAGATATTTTCGCAGATTCACAATTGCCCAATCTCCAATTCCATGTGAATAAATCTCCCCAGTGCTTAAATAATTTTCACCACATTAAATAGCTGCACAACACCCTAATTGCCGAAAAAGCGTTGCTTGCAACACTAGTCCTTTATGGGGACCAAACTTGGCGAGAAAAAAATAGCTAAGTTTGTTTACTGGATATACTGAGGGTTCAATGCTCTTGTGGACCCGGTTGGTCAGCGGTCAGCCTACATAGTCTTGTTATTTTGGCAATTATTTATTTATTTTTTTCACATTCATTCAGTCGTTTGCTGTTACATATTTACTTCATTCGGTCGGTCTTTATTCCTCGACTCACTTTTTTTTGTGTATGTTCACTGTCAGTTTACAAGAGACGATGCCACAAATTGACACGTTTCATTTGACAGCCGACAAGTCATTGACGCCGTAAGTAACGAGCGTGGAGGCGTTTGGGTAAATAAAAAACAATAACAAAATAAAATATTTATTAAGTAAAAGAAAATCATTAAATTTGCCCTTTGCGATGTGTCGGTTGTCTATCAATATGTTGATGAAGTGGTAAACCGACAAGTCGTCAGAAAAAAAACGAGCACAAAGTACATATAAGGAAGTGTCCAAGAAACTTATTTATTTTCAAATCCAGTAGACAATTTCTCGATGTGGAAATGCGTTCCCGGAAAATAAAAGGCCACCTCCGTAAATATATCAAGTAGGTCCAACCCTGCACTTCGCAACCATTCGAGTCAACTGGGTAACGATAGCAACTGAACGCTATTCTCTGGTTATCCGTAAAAGGAAACACGCATAACGTTGGCTAAAATGGTCTTCCGGAAATGAAGAAGCCTCGATTTTTACGCATACCCGTCCTCGTCGGCCGCCGTAGACGTCCTGTGCGACTTAAATCCCGAAACGACGAAACACCCGATTGGTATTGGTGTGTCTTGGGAGCCGAAAGGATGACGGGAATAATATCGTCTGGTAGTTGAGTTTGGTCCAAACTATGGTAAGCATGAACTTAAAAATACAAGTGTTATCAAT